GCTACTCTATATATAGCCAACCTGCAAGAATTAAAAAGTCTGGTCAAGAAAACTTCGACAAATTATATACTCCAAAAAATACTCTCAACATTCAAAAGACACCATCCAAGAATGAGGAAGCATTAAGCTAAACAGTGATTCGGGGAAGGAATGGCTTCTGTCTGCTATTTATGCATCTCCGGATGATGAATTGAGAAAATTGGTCCCATCCATGGAACGAATGCTTGAAAGCGGGTAGAAAATCTGAATTTTTGCAAAATTCCAAGAAGGTCACATCATTGGACATAGATTAGAAATGATTCATGTGTTTGCAGCTCTTACACAAGGACTCCATAGTAGCCAAAGAATAGAATAATCAAGAAAAATAATACTAACCCCCGGCTTCATGTTTGACCTGAAGAACAATGAAAAGAAAAATTATCAGAAAGCACTTGTATTAACTCCATGACTATAAAGAAAATAACAATCATCTGCATACCCTAGGTGCATAGCTTCCATCTCTGACATATTTTGCACCATTATTCATCATTTCCTGCAAGTAATCATGGTTAAAAATTATGAGTCAAGTTTCAGAATGTAAACAATGCAAGAGAATTACCTGAAAAATTTCACATGCAGGACAAGGACTTAAGAAGTATAAAAGTCATTCTTGTTTTGGTAAGTTAAACAAGCACAATTATCAATTATGGTGACGGAGTTTGCCCCCTAGCATACTAGACAAAAGGGGAAGAAGATAAGTTAACAGTAGTACCAGCAAGTGTAAAAGTATTTTACATATCAACAACCAGTTAAGTATATCAGTATCATCAGAAAGAAACAATATTATTGAAACAAACAATCACCATCTGTAGCTGGAGTACAATTCGCACCTCAACTACTAGATAAATTTGCACGTAATATCAAGAAGAAACATCATCCTTGAAACAGAGTGTGGGTACAAATTATGCTTTCACCTCTCCCTCCCTTTGTAAGTAACATCAGAAAGAAAGATCATTGCTAAAACAGGTAATCACATTTTGCAGCTGGTATACAATTTATGCTCTCTCTCTCTCTCTCTCACACACACACACACACACATATATGTATGTATGCATGCATGCATGTATGTATGTATGTATGTATCTCTCTAACTAACGTGTGTGTCTGTATGTATGTATGTATATCTCTAACTAACGTGTCATTTCTAACAAAATTTAATTCAGTGCAGTAATTTATCATATAAAGCTACCTAACAGTCTTCCTGGTTATCTATGGCTGAAAATGGGCTAAATTAAAACAAGAAGGCCAAAAATACACCTTAAGCCAAGTATAGTATAATGTCATGTTCATTTTCCAATTTAGTTTGGCCAATGGTCATGCTCCTTGTTCAATGTAGTTGAGTCAGTTTTAACTTCGTTCACCATTCCTAGAAGTGTCAAAGTAAAAGAAATTTACCCCATAAAGAAAGCCTGTTGAGCAAGATTTTGGCTGCAAAAGATTGGTAGAGACAGTTTGCAAACTAAACGACAAAAGAACTCCCTAATGTCTTGCTAACATTTCTTTATCAAGTTTTATAGAACATAATCTGCATTGAATAAAGAAACTCGTCATCCCCTTCTTTAGTATAAGTTTCCACAAAGAGACCAAAATCCCACACAGCCAAACTGATTAGAGGTACTTTGCAGATAAATTATATAAATCCTAACCGATGTAAATTCCTTTGGTTAATTACACCGATTGGAACCTTATATCAGTATTAAAATATCTTCTTATCTTGTTCCTAACTCTAGATGCAAAGTTTTGCAATAAACAAGTGCACCCAGCAGAAGTGAAGAAATACAGCACAAGATTGAACAAAATTATTGGAAACTTTTAGTATGAAAAGCCTTAATCCCCATTAAACATGAGGTAATATTAGCTTTCAACAAAGAGGAAAATGAATTGTATGATTATCGAAGTGGAAGTTTTAGACATGTAAGTCATAGGAATGCATGGAAAGTAATTTACAAAATAGTCAAATTATTCTTTAGACAATTGATCAGCTTTAAAGGCATGTCCACTGTGAAGAAGAGATGCATCAACATCATGGAATAAATATTCCAAAAGGCAGAACAGATGACTCCCTCAGCTTAATCACAGCTGATAGACCAGAACTCCAGTGCAAATGCAACACAAGTTAAAGGTAATGAGACATAGAGGTATCATCATATTGTCGACCATCCAATGTCCATTTCATTCAGACTGTTTTCTGACCTCTGACCTAACGAACAAAACAAAAGCTTGTGAATCTAAACTAGCGTTGCATTATAGGCACAGTGAGGTCTACTGCAGTGAGAGTCATGTGCTAGTAACTTTATTTACTTGAGATGCCTGTTCCCATCCTATAAGGGCAAGGGAATTTAAACCTTTACCATTTTATTAATAAACTCTCTTACAAACGAATCGCGCTTAGCTTAAAGTTCTACAAGTAATAAGCAGCGGCAAAACAACATAAAGTAAGAAAGTAGCCTACTTTCTCAATTCCCCTACATTTAGTCTATTCACATCACATTCCAATATACAAAAATTGCACCTTCGCAAGTTCCACTCACGCATGCAGAGACACACATTTACATACACAAAACAAAAGTTCATATATTTCAATAGCAGAAAAAGAAAAACGAAAATTCACCCATTTCAACAAATATAATACCTATAATAAATTGGGAAAAAATATTCACAATTGCTCCAGACCACGTTAAGAAAACTACACATAAGCACCACATTGAGTTTAAGCACTGCGATCATTAAAAAAAATGATACTTTTGACATACCCTTCTAACAAAGCTGCTGGCTCCAGGCTCCCCAATGGACGTAGATGAAAAGGGAGCAAAACCCATATTTGATGCATATTTTGTAGGCATATAATCAAGAAAAGAATCGCCCAAGCCATTGCAGGATTTCAGAGCGGTTGATAGCCTATTATTCTTCAGTAATAAAAACCCAGTTCTCCTTAGATGCTGCATCTTCAGAAACAGGTAAGCTTGACTAGTCGGATTTATGTCAGCGAGAAGAGAAAGGAAAAGAACAGAAAATCTTGAGCTTTTAAGCTGTGCAGAATGGAAAACCCATCAAGAAAAATTTGCATAAAAGTGAAGACCCTATAATAAGTAGCACTATACTATGATCGATTCAACTGATGGTGATGAAATAGAACAAAAAAACGGGGGTGGGGAGGAGGGAAAAACCAATTGGGGTTCAAGTTATCTATAGCGAGATTTTAGAGGGGAAAAGATGAGAGGCAATGTTGAAAAATTGACAAGCATAATGAAAACCCAATCGGGGTTTTAGCCCTTCAGCTGTGACAATACAATCGGATGTTATAGGCTGGGCTTTACTCCTCAAAGCCTGAGATCGGCCCGACTCGAAAGCTCGATCCACTTGTGAAGCCTTCATTATACCGTAGTATATATGGGTTAAAAATATTAGTTACTTTTATTCTTAAAATTTTGATTATAGTGAAAATTAGCTAAATACAATATAACAAATAGTACAGCGCTAACTATTACTAAACCAAGGGACCCGGTTACACGATACACACAAATTTTGAAGGGGAGAAAAGTACATATGAGTTAGTGTGGTGATTTTCTCATTTTGCTTGTTAATGATTCCTCGCATTTTTGGTGTTTAATAATAGGTTGGCCTATTTTTCGCCCCACCAATAATTTCTTTTATAGATATAATTATGCAAAGACGATTGATAGAAATTTAATCATCTTACAGTATTTATTTATTTATAGGTTCATTTCTCGATCAGATTTAATGTTTAGTTCACTTCCAATCTAATCCAAACTTGTACCAGCCTCCTTCCCTCTCCTGGCTTCCCCCTCTAATCAGGACTGGAAGACTGCAACTAAATCAGAAACAATTTTTAATCGGATATGAATGAGTTTTTGACAAGTGGATTTTGAAGAGACTCGAATCGAATGACCCGTCAAAAACATTTTGCTGGCGACAAAGCAAAAGTCGAAACCGAACGTCAGACGAAATTTGCACTGATAGAGACCATGAAACTAACGAGTCCCAGCACCACATCTTAGTTTGGTACGTACCATGTGAATTTGACAGATCACATAACTAAGAGAGTCTAAGCACCATAATCCTCTTGTTTGGCAAGTTCGAGAATTGAAAATTAGAGGTTGAGAGTCTGTTTTATTAGTCATTTCTGACGAGAAGGCAATTCTTGTATGAGCGAACACATTAGCCAACCAGAGTTCGAATTTACAAATAGAAAAACAATTGCCTTTCCGACCCACCAGAGCCGGAGGTGATTATATCATGTTGAGTAGTAGATTTGTTGATGGTTGTAACCCATAGCAGAAGTACCATTGTGCAACCGGCTTCGGCCTCCAACTGATTATTGTGCGGTTGATTTTGGCGGTGGCAGAAGTACCATATACAACAAACTCGATCAGATTTGACCAAAATCAACTAGATCAGATTGGCTCGAGTTATTCACGGGTCGACCTCGGCATTCAGATACTCAGCTCGGCTCAAAATTTAATCATGAAGCGCAATCAAGTCAATTGTTGTTTAAGAGAACAAAAACCTTCAAGCTAAACAAACTCAGCATGCATCTTTAGTCCTAAATATGCTATGGCTAGTGAAACTCACCGATACACCGACATTTAAATGAAACTAAAGGACAACACAAGTCAAACCTCTAGAGCCTTCAAAGCACATGTAAAGAAGGTACATGTCTGAAAATCTGAAAAGACACAGCCATGCCAAACTAATGCTGTGGAGAAGCATGCAAGATCCTCCAGTGAATAGTTCAATAAATGGCTGAATCTATGCATCTAAGTTAAATATTAAAGAATAATGTTCCACTGTATCTTTTTCCAATTGTTCAAGGACCTCCTTGATAAATTTTACAGGACGCATGAAATTTACGAACACAAAGGTAGTGTACATTGTCTTCAATGTAGTCGTGCATGCCTTCCTATCAAAATAGAATCTACTGTGAACTGGAAAATAACAGATTTCACGACTTCAAACCTGTAATTGCATATGAAGCACGAAAATAATAGCATTGAAAGATCTAAGAAACTTCTCACCTAGTTAAACAGTAACTGGAGACCGTAATTAAACTGTCAAGACGAGCACCCACAATGGCTCCACATATGACACTCTCGGTCACAAAGTTAAAGAGACTTCATCTCAAAGGGCAACGGCAGCCAGTTATCTGAAGTCTTAGGTACTAGACTGAATAAGTCGTCGTACTACAGAAAAGACATAAACATTAAACATACTAAGACGACGACATATTAGACAGAAACTCCATATGTAAATGCATTAACACAAGGAGGGACAGAGCAGTCTGTGCTTGTATCATCCAACACTATCATTAATCTAGTATTTTTTCAGTCTGACGAGCATAACCTCTCTTTGGTCCTCCTGGATAGGTTCATAAACCTTAGCTTGAAAGGTCTTGACCTCAGCAGTTTCAGCCTCTTCAGCTTGGAAGGTAATGTGAAAGACCTCACCAGCACACATGTATGAAATTACCTTCTCAATATCTTTAAACCCAAATGGTACACCCTAAAAAACAACAACTCCATAATTAATCTGAAAATTAATGACCCAACAAGTAGATCACAAGGAGGAGCAACAGTATAAAAACGGACACAAACGCAAATATAAGGATGGGGGAATGCGGGAAAGAATTCAGTAAACCTTGGTATCTTTGTTCTTATCATTGAACTCTTCAAGTGCCATGATAGCCATTTCAACGAGATCTTTGTAAAGTTGAGGATCATTCTTAAAATTTCTAATGGGGGCATAGATAGTCTCACGACCACCCGGAAAAACATCTATGTCAAAACCCTGCAAAAGTAAATCAATCCAACATTCACAATTATCATTCCCGCCGGTATATATGCTGATGCTTAAAGAAAGATTAAAAAAAGAAAAAGAACAGTAGGTGATATCGTTAAATACCACCGGAGAAGGAAGGAAAGGAAGGAAGGACAGAGAATGGGAGAGAATACTAACATCGCTCTCCTCGACCTGTTCGAGGTACCGTTCAATGGTACTCTCGTCGGCCATCTTTTCGTTGCCGAATGGCTCGAAACCAATATAAGGATTACAACGGCGAGCGCGAGTTCTTGCTAGGGCATTCCTGATAAATTCCTCATAAGTTCCTGACTCCTTGAGACCCAGCCTCGGAGGAAGCGATGTTTTTTCAGCTGGTGGTGGTGGAAAAACGCGTTTGTTTTTTCCCCACGATGATCCTCCACCGCTGCTCTCACCTCCAACTTTGCGCTCCGCTTCCGGCTTCAATTTCTGACGTTTGCCGCGAACACGATTGCCGCCGCTTCTCTTACCCATCGGTTGTTTCTCACATTTCCCACCAACACGGCTGCGCCTCGTCATCTTGCCACAGAAACAGAAAACCCTAACTTCTGTTAACTACGGCCTACGGTTGGATTTGATCAGTTCTGATAAATTCGCCTCGGTGGGGGTATACCGTATGCGAAGGGTACCACGTCAATGAGCAGTTATATCTACCAACTAGATAAGAGAACAACTCAAGTTCTCCATTGATGCCAAGTGTCAAGGTATGAGGAAACAAATTTCATTTTTTTATTTTGGACATTAAAGAGAGTGAAATGTCTATTTGAGCCTTGGTATTCAAGTTCAAAGGCTTAATAGTTCCTCACTATTTAGGGGCTAATTGGTAAAAATAGTTTAATTATTTTCATTTGATTCTTTTGTTTGGTTTTTAATTGGTGAGAAAGGTCAATTGAATCCTTTTATGAAAAGGAGCTCTTTAAATAGTTGCTAACTATTTAGGGTTATTTTTGTCCATTTGAAATTATTCCTTTTATATTTTCCTGCTCAAATGCAAATAGTTGTAGACTATTTGTGTGTCCTTTTTATCACATGGGGTGTTTTGAATTATATTATAGTTATTAAATTAAATTAAATATTCCTAATTATAATATAAATTAACGGAGTCATAGCCGTTAGAACTAATGTTCCTGTGTCATGGCCGTTAGTATGACTGATGCTGATAATGTAGGTTAGTCAACACCACCTTAATTGGTCTTATTAGCCAGTGAAGTTCTTCTTCATTGAAGCAGAGTTTCCTTACTCTTTCTTTGCGTCGCGTAGCCTCTTCCTTTCCGTCGATTAGTAGGCAGCTATATGAGCCTGCAAAATCTTCAATTTTCAACCAATTGTTCAACAACTAATTGTCCTTTTTTTTGATTGCAACCCACAAATTCCTCCACACGCACGTGAATTTTTGTTTTACCCCAAAAATTAGGTCACTGAAATTTCTTTTCCCCAAAATCTGCGAGCCTGCAAAATCTTCAGTTTTCTGCCAATTGCTCCGGCAACTAATTGTACTTCCTTTCGATTCGCTCCCAAAAAATCCTCCTCATCCACGAGAATTCTTCTTTTCCCCCAAAAAACAGCTAATTTTAGGTATGGCTGCTGTACCGAGTTATCATCCATGGTACAGCTTTCAGAACTTACTATTTCCAGCCTTATATATACCTTTGTTTCCCACTTTTGCCGGTATTCAGAAGAGGAGCAAACAAAATCTAGGTATGTTTCCATTTTCTCTCTTCCTATTTTTTAGTTGCAATTTTTTTTAGTTTGAATGTTCTTCCCTCCTATTTATTATTGGCTTCCGTTAATTAGACACTGTCATGTGTTTGATATTATGCATAAAAGAATGATTATGATGGTAATTTATCGATTAACTTATGTTTACTTTTTTTTTCTCTATTTTTATTGATTTCAAATGTTGCCCGACTTTTGCCAACATTCAGCCGACAGGTGTGCTATATGATTTCTGTGTTTGGCAAACTGTCCTTGATTTTTATTGGTAATTTTTATTGTGAGGAAGAGGAGCAGGCGATAAGGAATCCATCATGTTACTTGAGCTTGAAGTGGAAAAGGCAGACTCGGACCCAGTCCCACCTGCCGACGACGACGTCACACTCAAATCCGTGCAAGAAGGTAGCACTATAGTAGTGGAGTAGGTGGGAACGTCGTCAGGGAGCTGGTGCTGGTTAGGATTGTTGATAACACCTGTATTAGTGTCTACAATATTGATAGAGCACACCCCAAATTCATCCAAAGGTATTATGTCCGCGGTAGTCGTTGGGGAGGCAGTTCGACGGAGAAAGCGTTGGACCGGCTGGATTTCTATATCAGAAGCTGCCCTCTTTCTCGCCATCTTTCCGCTGTGGAGATTGAGAGAAGAATGCAGCGGCACGTTGAAGTCCTTGTTTGAGGAGATAGGCAATGGTCTGTCGTCGCTGCAATTGTTGAGGCTTGAATTCCCCCGACGGCCACTGTCGTTGACCAAGGAAAAGGCTTTTGCCATGTGTGAATGTACAGAGAGGTAGAGAGATTGGCGGTGGCAGTAGCACTCGGTACGATAGCTCCCCTCTTCAGTCTTCCCTTGGGGTTATTTCCTTGACATAACGTTATTAATAATTGGCTACGGCTTACACAAATTATTGTTGTTAAGCAGCAGTAGTAGCATTCAAATTTAGAGGGAAGGAGGAGGAGGGTCGAAAGAAGGATCCGGAGATAATAAGTTAAATGATAAGAAGAGAAGCCAACCAGATAGCAATGCGGGGGCTTGGACAGGAGGAGCATTGGGATTCCAAGGCTAAGAGCAGGTTCAAGAACTGATGCGATCATTTCAAGGCCTTCTGTCTCGGTTAATTACAAAAACAGGAGGGAGCAAGAAAGACATCATCAATCTAACACCCTGACATTTTCTTAAAAAGACTTTCTACTTTTAAAGCACTCGGGACCCACCAGTCTTCTTAGATAGCAGGCCAACCACAGCCGGAGTCGAACTTTGTTGTAGATTTATAAAGTGGCGTTCCACATCCAGCACAGTTATACACCCCTTCACCAAAAAACTTATCATATTCCCCAGTTCCACGCAATCTGTATATCATTGCATTGTGTCAGCAAAGCATAACCCAAGCAAATGTCAAGAACTGAGGGACGTAGCATTGTCCAAGTCTCCATTGCAAGCTGGATATGCATCTGGTATGTTGGAGTATTCATAAGATCTATCTCCTTTTTCTCTAGGCAAGGGCCACTTTGAAAGTATTGGCTCGTAGACCATTATAAAACTAGGCAGCAAGCACAGGTCATCAGCATAGAGAGAAGAACATTTCAAAAATGTCTCCAGATCTTACATTCATCCAGTGCCGCTGCATTAGCTACTGGTGCTGAAAAAGTTTATACCACTAATTTATCAGTATTGATTTGTAGATATTCTGGTACAACCAATGCATTTTAAGGAGTAATTTTCTTGCTTCATTCTAACCCATATATGGCTCCTGTATTGTGCATTCTATTCATCTTTACATTCTATTCAATTACGCTTTTGGCTTAATCTTTCTTATTCCCTGGTTTAATATAGAAGAAGTGGAAACCTGAATCATAACATGCTGAAGGTTTCGACACAAGTAGGTACTAAATTACAGAGAGCAAAGAAAGCTAAAGCAAAGGAAGACTGATATGGTCTAATTCCGTACTTTTGTTATATCTTTTGTTCATTGCCTTGATGGCTGTCTTCATTCCTTAGACAATGTCTCTTGACTTAAAAAGTAATGGATCCTAATATATCTATTAGTAGTTTAACCATCAATGTTGTAATTCAATAGGCAATGAAGCTTATTTAAACCTCCTAATATGTAACTGTGGCTTGAACTGAAGTGTGTATTCTGCTAAGACATGAATGATTGAGTTTAAGTAATCTATGGTTGTGATTTGCATATTCATTATTTACCTCTTCATTTGTCAGCTGGTCATATCATATAGATATATGGTCTCGATTGCCCAAGTATGATTGAGTTGGTCATATATAGTTGTGATAAATATGATATTAGTTGGTCAGCACGGCCAGAACCATGCTAGTATATGGAGGAGTGATTAGACCGACTGGAGATTAATTTGAGGGCCGTCCGTTTGGCGCTCTCGTACCCGGCCTAGTGTACAGATGAGGGCTGTTTGCTTGGTTTGGATTTGGGCCTGAAACATGTGGTAATGGAACTTTAACCTCTCCATTATTTATTGGACTCGACCCACTTATTAGTTTGGACTTTTGAGTATTGCATTGAGTATTGGACTTTTGAGTAGCTAGTAGTAGTCTTGGAATTTTTTTTTTCAATTTATTCTATTTAAGGAGGGCCGAGATTTAAAAAATGAGGAGGAGAAGCAGATTTGAACTCAAGACATGTACATCTTGAGTAGAAGAAGAGGGTGGAATTTAAATAAGGATGCATCTTTAATTCTCTATTACGGAGCAACTTTTTTTTTTTTTTTTTTTGAGTAGAAGCAGAGTTTAGATAGATTCGATTCTGGCCATCACTACAGATCAAGATACACTCTCAGGACCATAAATAGCTTATACGGGTTGATTCAAGTTGCCTACTAACACAATTTTCATATTAACTAAAACAAAAATTAACTCGTGATTGCAAAAGTAGGTTTTGACTTTTGATACAATGTGTTGTTGTCACAGAGGTTTTCAAAATTAAGCATCAAATCATTTTCTTATTGTCAAATACAAATTCCTACTTTGATCTTTAAATTTCAAAATGTGATACTTTAATCCTTAAACTGTAAGCTTTGTCCTACTTGAGCGATGTTTTGAGATTTTGACAAAAAAAAGGTAATACCTTTGAGAAAGTATAATAGATTCTAGATTTAAGCGGGTATACTTTAAGGACCAAAATGAAAATAATTTTATATCTTAAGGACTAAAATGGGATCAGCTGTACATTTTGGAGATTAAAGTAGAATAAATTTTAGAGTTTAGGACTAAAGTGTCCAATTTTAAGGTTTAAGAACAAGGCAAGAGGTTAGGTATAGTTAAAAGACGCAAAGTGAAATTATGCAACAGTGAGTATATCAAGTGTAAAAGCCCAGCGGTTCGAATATTTACCAAATAATACTTTCACATAAAAAAAAACTTTCATTTGTGCTTTAGATGTTTTAAAGTTAGTGAAGTAATAAAATGTTTTTCTCTTTCTTTCGATAATCCAAAAAAGACAATTGAGAGACGTTTTTTTGGTTGCTTCTTGGAGGTTATAAAAATTATAAATGAGAACAAGAAGCCCTAAATTGCCTCCTTTATTTTTTGTTAAAACCACAGAAAAAAGGAGAGGACGTTGTTGTAACTTGACAGATTTGACTTTTGAACTACATAAAAGGCAAAAGGAAAAATAAAAATAAATTAAAATATTTTTTAAAAAAAGGAGTAAGTGGGGCTGCGTAGTGGGTGAATGGTGGCAGTAACCGCCTTAACCGTCACCGCACCACAAAATAGAGCAAAACAAAACACACCCACTCAGAAGGAAACGGGGATAAAAGATACAGAAGAAAACAATTCCTGAGAGACAAGAATCTAGCGAAACATCAGAAGATTGACTTTTACCTTTTTCTGCTAGTATTATGGTAGGTCGTATATAAACAGATAGTGTGAGAAGTGGAGTGAATGGCTGGGAGAAGAGAAAGATT